GTTTGTATGTGGAGTCTTGGAGTAGGTTGGTTAATTTGGTTTGGTAGTCAGATGTGTTCATAACCACTGTGGCGTTGCCCTTGTCTGCTGGTAGGATTATTATGCTGGTGTCTTCTTTCAGGTTAAGTAGTGCTGTCTGTTCCTCTTTGGGTAAGTTGCTTTTGGGTGGCTTGCTGGTGCAGAGGATGTTGGTGATTTCGAGTCTGATTCTGTTAGCGTCGTTGGGGTTGATTTTGGTCAGGCTGGTTTCAACTCCGCATATAATGGTTTCAGTGGGGATGTGTTTGGGAGCGACTGCAAAGTTGAATCCTTTGGAAAGGATATTGGTTTCGGCTTTGGTGAGGATCCTATCTGAGATGTTATGCACTGTTTGTTTCATGTGTGGATGTGAGGGAGGAGGGGTTTGTTTCTGGCGTTCTTGTAGTCTTCGGAGTTTGTTGGTGTGTGTGTCTGTCTTGAGGGTGGTCTGTGTTTCGGCTCTCCAGACGGTGAGTTGTTTGGATTTGTCCCAAAGTGCGGGGTGGATCTTGTTGCTGAGTTTGAGATGAAGTGAGAGGAGATCTTTGTTGATTCGGTCTAGGAGGAATTTTTTTGTGTGAAGTTCATTTCTGATTAGGGCCAATTCTGTTCTTTTTAGGATGCGTTTGGTAGCTGCAGAGTTGGAGTGGAATTTCAATTGGAAGCATGTGGGGATTAAATTTTGATCTCGGCAATTGCGTAGGAATGTGAGGTCACATAAAATGGAAGCTCTTTGGACTTCGAGTTTTTCATAGGTCCTGGTCAGATGGTGGATTTCCTCCCCGTAGAGGTACGATATTTGTTTTCTGAGGTTTTCGCGGGTGTTTGTATGTAGGTCTTTGGTTATTCGGGTTTTCTCCCGCGTAAAATTGGAGGTGTCTTGGCGACGTTTCGATGAAGTCCCATTCGTCATCTTCAGGCTGGTGTTTTCAGCTTCGTGCTTCTAGAAGTAATGTGTGATCGCAGCTGTTTCTTCTTTTTAACTGCCAGTGGGGTTTGAACTGATTGGGTGGGAGCTTGGCTGTGTTCTGATTGTATATGTATAAGTATAATATAAAATAAATAAATAAATAAATAAATAAATAAATAAATAAATAAATAATTATTACTGACTACATACCAAACACTGTCCTTGCAGGAACAGATTCTCTGTTCAACCAGAATGACACCTGAGACAGAATGACTGTCATGATGCAGGGAAGATAGGTCTGAATCACAAAATAACCAATTTTCCTCTTCAAATGAAAATGAGCTGTCATCACTGTGTATTCACCTGAAAAAAATAGATCAGATTAATAACAGAAGAATAATTATACATTCTTCCTTATATAAGACTATACCTGGAGTACTGCAGGCAATTTTGGTCACCATATCACAAAAAAGATATTGAGAGTTTGAAAAAAAATCAGAGAAGAGCAACTAAGATGATCAAAGGTCTGGAGACTAAAACATACGAAGAACGGCTGCAGGACTTAGGTTTGGCTAGTCTAAAGAAAAGATTAAGTAGGGGAGACATGATGGCAGTATTCCAGTATTTGAGGGGCTGCCACAAAGAAGAGGGGGTCACATTATTCACCAAAGCACTAGAGGGTAGGACAAGAAACAATGGTTGGAAACTGATCAAAGAGAGAAGCAACCTGGAATTAAGGAGAAACTTCCTGACAGTGAGGACAGTTAATCAGTGGAATACCTTGCCCCCAGAAATCATGGGCACTCCATCACTGGAGATTTTTAAAAAGAGGGTAGATGGTCACTTATCTGAGATGGTATAGGTTCTCCTGCTTGAGCAGGGGGCTGGATTTGAAGGCCTCCAAGGTCCCTTCCAGCTCTATCCTATCCTATCCTATCCTATCCTATCCTATCCTATCCTATCCTATCCTATCCTATCCTATCCCACTTTGAAAAAAAATATGGTTATAGCATATTAACAGAACCAGTTAAATATATCTTAGTAACAGAACAGAATAACAGAGTTGGAAGGGACCTTGGAGATCTAGTCCAACTCCCTGCTCAGGCAGGAAATCTATACTATTTCAGACAAATAGTTGTCCAATCTCTTCTTAAAAACTTCCAGTGTTGGAGCACCCACAACTTCTGGAAGCAAGTCATTCCACTGATTAATTGTTCTAACTGTCAGGAAATTTCTCCTTAGTTCTAGGTTAATTATCTCCTTGATTAGTTTCCATCCATTGATGTTTGTCCTGCCCTCTGGTGCTTTGGAGAATAGGTTGACTCCCTCTTTTCGTGGCAACCCCTTAGATCAGGGGTGTCAAACTGCCAGCCTGCGGGCCAGATGCGTCACATAGAAGCCACGCCCACCCTAGCTCCAGCAAGGGGAAAAAAAGTCATGATATGTCATGACACGTCACGTGATGCAGCGAGTTTGACACCCCTGCCTTGTTACTATGTTTCTAAAATAAAAAAGTAAAGATAAAAAATTTAAACAATGGAAACAAATAATAAAATAAATGCAAATGATTTGAAAGCTCTTGACAATGGTTTCTCATGCAGCATGTGAGAGAAGGGAAGAAGATTGATGCAAGTCCTTTGATCTTAGATTCTCTTGATACCATAACTAGTAAAAAAATCAATTTAAATCACCTGACATAAATTTAGACTGCTCTAATGGTGAAATTCTTCCTAATCCATAATTTCTCATGAGACTTCTCTGTAGTCCATAAGGGCAGGAACAAAACCATTTTTTTTAATCACAGGGAAGCAGATTCAGGATGGACTTGAGAAGGAACTTTCTGACTGTATACATTGTCAGCCACTAGAACAAGTTGCCAGGTCCATGGTAAGTTCTCCTTTGCTAGATGTTTACAAGCAGAAACCTGTTATTTCCAGAGATGTTCCTGAGCATTTTGCACAAAGTAATGACAACAGGCAGTCCTTTACTTACAACAGCTTGTTTAGTGACGATTCGAAGTTACAACAGCACTGAAAAAATGACATGATCATTTTTCACATGACCACTGTAGCATCCTCATGGTCACATGATCAAAATTCAGACGCTTGGCAACTGGCATGTATTTATGACAGTTGTAGTGTCCTGGGGTTATGTGATCATCTTTTGTGACCTTTTGACAAGCAAAGTCAATAGGGAAGCCAGATTTACTTAACAACTATGTTACTAACTGTTAGATCTGCCATCTTTAGTATACCTCGTTTTGCTGGCATCCTGCCATAAAACGCATGGGATGGGGAAGAGGATGGGGAAGTAGGGAATGGGAAGTAGGGAGGAAGGGAGGGAATGACAGGGTGACAGGGACCAGAGGTGTCAATCCAGAACGAACTGGCCAAATCAAGGACAGAATCGTGAGAACAGAATGCAAAACTCAACCAAAGAGATACCAAACCTCAAAGCCATTCCCCAAATACCAAAACTGAATACTATTGGACACTGATGGGTGAAGTGGGAAGGCTCAATGAGTTTGATATTACTCATCCGGAACAGTGGAGCTCATACGTCTCCCGAGTAGACAACTATCTCCGGGCTAACCAGATCACAGATGATGGCCTGAAGGCAGCAATCTTACTATGTATCTGCGGACAAGCCACGTTCGATATCGCTGAAAACCTGATAGCACTGGCAAGTATAGAGACTGTGGCCTACACAAACCTCAAGAAAAAATTAAGGGAACATTTTGAGCCTAAACTCTCAGTAATCGCCTGGCGCCATGCATCTGAGCAATGTGAGCAGAGATCCGGGGAATCTGCAGCAGAGTTTGTGGCAGCCCTTCGCCAAGCTTTGCGCCAATGTGAGTTCCCTGACCTGGAAGACTGTCTCAGAGACAGGCTCGTTTGCAGCCTGCATAATAGAGAATTACAGCAGTGCCTATTTGCCATGGAGAAACTGACTTTCCAAGATGCATTGAAGGAAGTCATGGCAGATGTGGCTGTCGGAGGGGCAATGAAGACTCTCTGGCCACCTAAAACACACACCAGCCCCACAGCGATCCACCAAGAGACCGCAGAAGGATCGGGGGAGGCCAGTGAGAGTGAAGAAATCGATCGTTTGCGGAGAGAGCCACTCAGACGGTCACGCTCCACAGAGCAAGCAACTTCCTCACACAGCTACGCAAGCTGCGGGGGACAGCATGAAAGAGCAGAGTGTAGATTCCACACAGCAGTATGCCATGCCTGTAGAAAGCAAGGGCACATTGCCAGAGTTTGCAGAGGTCGTCAGCAGGAAATGAAACCTGCGACACAGCAGCACAAGGGGAAATGGCCCCCAGGACAGAACAGAGTTGAATACTGCTCGGGAAGGCATAGCATCCAATGCACAGGGGCCCAACATTCCACCAAAGAAAAGATAAGACTCCAACTAAGACTGCAAGGGGTCCCATGCTCCATGGAGCTACATACTGGATCAGCCCTGTCCATTATCTCCTCCAGGACTTTCAACCACATTTGCAAATGTAGCCAATAACAGGTCCCGCTCAAATCATCGAGCTTAGTGCTAACGGACTTCCAGAATTGCCGTGTTCCCGTAAGGGGGAAATCTACCATTAGAGTACAATTCAGAGTGTTTGAGGGTCCCCTCAGTGTAGTGGTCATAGAGGGACCGCACACCAGCCTCATAGGACTGGACTGGTTCGAGGCCCTTGACGGGCATCCATCCAACACAAATAGCTGATCTAGCAGCAGTATGCCAGCAATATGCTGACGTATTCAGCACAGAGCTGGGACAATATAAAGGGGCACCCATTTCACTCAACCTCGATCCAGCAGTTACTCCAATCCAATTAAAAGCATGCAGGGTTCCCTTTGCATTGAAGCCTAAAATTGATGCGGAACTAGACAAGCTGGTACAGCAGGGAGTGCTCCAACCTGTGGACTGTAGCCAATGGGAGACTCCAATAATGACCCCAGTTAAGCCTAACGGGGACCTTCGCATCTGTGCAGACTACAAGTGCACCATAAACAAGGCACTACAGCAGCATGCTTACCCTGTACCAGTAGTGAGCCATATCTTTGCTTCACTCCAAGGAGGCCAAATCTGCACTAAGTTAGACCTCGCCCAGGCTTACCAGTAGGCGACGTTACTGCAGAAGCACAAACAATCATCACACACAGAGATGCATTCTGAGTGCGCCGCTTGTAGTTTGTGGTAAGCGTAGCACCAGGGTTGTTCCAAAGTATTATGGAACAAACAACAAAGAACATTCCCGGCATCTGCCTGTATTTTGATGACGTACTGATTGCAGGGGAATCAGCGGCAGTCCTGGCGGAACGTCTCCGTGCAGTACTCCAATGTTTCCGCGAGGTAGGCCTAAAACTCAAGAAGGAAAAGTGCCAGATTGGCGTGGAATCCACAGAATTCCTGAATTTCCACATCAATGCTGCCGGAATCCACTCATCTGAAGCAAAGCTAAAGGCAATTCAGCAAGCCCCCACACCAAAATCCAAGGGGGAGTTACAAGCATTCCTGGGCTTGCTGAATTTTTACCACTCCTTCTTACCGCATAAGGCTGCCCTGGCAGAACCGCTACACCGCCTACTGGACAAAAAATCACCCTGGTCTGGTCAAGCACCCAAGGTGGTAAAATCATTGCTATCCTTGGACTCCATTGTAGCTCATTTCAATGAAAACCTACCAGTAACACTAGCCTGTGACGCTTTGCCATATGGCATTGGGGAAGTACTAAGCCACAGGATACCAGATGGTAGAGAGGCCCCCATCGCATACTATTCTAGAACGTTATCATCGGCTGAAAGAAACTATGCCCAGATAGACAAGGAAGCTCTCGCCATAGTGGCCTGCATTAAGAAGTTCCATGACTTTTTATGGTGTCCGAAAAGACTGAATATTTAATTAACTTTGATGACTCTTTGGGGGACATTTTCTGCTGAAATTACGTATTGCTTTTGCTATTTTCTTCTCTTGGAATTTGTACAAAGGAAAGAGACTAAGGAATTTGGGAGAGATGGATATTGATTGATTGCTGGTAAATATAGTCTCCCCCAAAAAGATAATGTCTTCAAATATGATAAAAATGGAGGAAACTTGTTCAGATTCTATTTATAAGTATATTTTGGACAAACATTTGGAAAACACGGAGATGATAATTGCCTGCAGTAACGAGATCTCTCTGCATCGACAAAGCAAAGCACAAGGTTTAAGTGAAACAGCAGTTTATATTCAAGAGACTTGTTCTCAGTCCACTGAGATGGAAAAAGCAAATGTACAGTTGGATTACCAATTGATATTGGAAAAAAGTTTTGATATTAATGGACAAATGACCTATAATAAGGAAATGGAAGAGCTTT